CCGATTGTCACTTTTAGCTCCTATCACTTCTCTGTACCCGCCAATAACACTCCGTTATCAAGCTATCCTATGCACCACTGTATCGCCTCTCGGATCAGAGGTCCCACTGTTGCTGTAACCTGCAGCACGAATCTGATTGACCCTCCCTTCCGAGGGACTCGCTTACGCGGTATCTTAATGAACTGTTATCACTTTCTGTCGCACCGCCCAAAATGTTCCCGTCCCACAACCTATATCACCTCACGGAATCTGAAGTTCCCACTGTTGCTGTAACGAGCTGCGCCACGAATTTGATGACCCTCATCTCCGAGGCCCTATGCGGATCTATCACTGTTATCAGCTGTCTGCCGCCCCACCCTACGGCATTATTAAAGTACTTGAAATCAGTGGTCGCCGCGCCCGTTTGCTGCACTTGCCAGCGCAATATCGGTCACCACACCCGCTTCTAAGGCCGTGTGCCTTATCGAATCTTGATCAAGTGTATCAACTCCTGTCAGCGCACCAAAAGTCTACAGCCTGACGAGGGATCGCGCGCCCCCCCGTCCACGTGCTGGCCATGTATATCACTGTCTTGGATCACGGTCCCCACACCTGCTGCAACTTGGCGCTACGAATTCAGTCACCCTACTCTCTCCCTTGTACGGCCCCTTACGTATCTTGATCAAAGAGTTATCACCTCCCTGACGACCCACCGAAAAGGTGTTCCGGTCCTGCCATGTATATCACTCTCAAAATAACGGATCCCACACGCTGCTGCAGATTGCGCTACAGCGAATTCAGTCACCCTTTCCCTTCTACGTCGCCCCTTATCGTATCTTATCAAGAGTTATCAGAATCACCTTCCTGACACCCACACCAAAAGTGTTCCGTCCTGGCCAGTATATCACCTTCCGGAACTGTCACCCTATCTTTTTCTGCGACGCTGCGCTATGAATTTCGTGACACACAGCACACAACAGCACACACAGACACAACACACAGACACACATAGCGATTATATATAGTAGGATAGCTTACATTTGACTTGAATCGGAATATATTTGAGACCTGATCAGTGACCACTCGTGAAATCTATGGCCATGCTCGAACAGTTACACAGCAGAAAAGCAGCCATTAAGGTTGTTAAAGACCGCCCCATTCTTGTCAAATTGCCTTTCACTCCGTTCTTAACCTACGCCATAAACGGCATAGCAATAAATGAACCATTGTTTCATCCGTCTCAAGTGATCGCTTGTTATGGACCCCCTAACAAAGAAGCCTAACCATATTCCAAAAAGCGCGCCACCAACCTGAAACAACCTCCATTGTCGGTAACAGTGGCATACAATCCGCTGGAAAAAACAACATGAGAACAATGACACAGAAACAGTAAATTGGAATTCCATTTTCACATTCTCCTTACTGGATGGGTCTTTGCAAGTACCCTGAAAATATTGCGAGAGAAAAGCAATGACAAAGTGGCACAGTAACAACACTGAGACAAATTCTCATCAGAATCTCTATCCTCTTCCAATTGCCAAAATTGGTTTCTAATGTAATGACTGCAAAACTTACTCACAAACCAGAGGGCACAGATGACCGGATAAACGGGTTATAGCAGGACATCAAAGTATCAATCAAGTCCCCATTACCACAGTTGTTTCTTGGTTATCCGCACAACATGTTTGTCGGATACCGCCTTTTGTCCAGAATTCGCGAAGGAACCTGCCGCTGGAAAGGCAAGTTCTGAAAATCATTGAAAAATTGGTGTGCATGATTCCGCACTAATTCTGTTGGTCTAAATTTTAAAGTGGACTGCCGCGGTGCTGAAAATATAGTGTAGCTCGCTGCAAGAAGGTTGACTGTGTCAGGCAAGGGTGAGTTTTGGCGCGCATTGTGCAGAACTCATCTCTCCACCAGTTCTCCCCAAGGAGAGCAAGTGATATGACTGTGTTCATATACGTTTCGCACTAACCGTATTTCATACTACTTTTTTCATCACGCGCGCTTCTAACAAAAAGGCACAGAGCGCGCTTTGAGCGGTGGTGTGCACACTCAGCAGCTATCTGAGCACGCCCAAGCGTGCGCAGCGAACTAGAGTTTATCTCTTGTGCGAGCAATAAACTTAAGAATGGGGATTGTGGTGCTCACAAGGAGCTTGATCACACAGTCAATGTTTCGGCTCCGCAAGTGACCGAAAGTGACATTTCGGGCTCCTACACACATTATCAGTGGCTGTTTGTTAGCTGTTACACCCTTTCGTCACCCATCATGCTCCGCCCCATGTCTACATAGGGCTAAACTAATTCCCGCCTGCAACTCGCACGCTGTGATAATTAAATTTCTAGCAGTCACTAAAGGGGTATAGTTTTGCTAGTACGTTGTCATCTACCAGATCCTGCTACAATTGCTTTGAATGCAGAGTAGGTGTAGGCCCAGAAATTCAGGCTTCAGGCGAGTTTTTTGGCCATATCTCTGTGAGTAAATCGAGATTAGTACTAACTTGCATAACCAGCGCTAACGAAGCACCTGAGAGTAGTGACTGCAAATGCGGGTCGGAACATCGCTTGCTATTTGACTCAGAGTGCTGTTCTAACCTTGTAGAAGCGCTGCTTAAAATACGAAGCAAAGTCTCCAGCTCGGAGGGAAGTTTGGATAGTCCCAGAAGCAATGAGTTTTATTTGCAACGTTCAAAGTCTTCTAATTGGCGGTGACTGGGTTACAATCGTGCTGCGTGTAATGCATCGACTTTCTGCGAGATACAAGCGTGACGACATCGAGTATTTGACATCGACATGTGTCTTTGACTTTTTTTGTCTTCGTTACTGGATTTTTACCACGGCCTTCGGCGCGCAGTGTATGGTGTGGCACATAAGTACTACAGGTTCGCTTCTTTTTTCGACACGTCGACGAGGAATTTCGCTATGCAAAGAGAGTGACACGGTTTTGCTAGGCCATGGCTTGATAATAATCCTGATAGGAAACTTCCACGTAGTTTTAGGAAGTACAAAACAAGCTTCGGTTGAGGGAATGGATTTTTTGTGGATTTTTTAGTCGTTGAAGTTTGAAAAACCGCAAAGTCGCGAAACACTTAGCACTCTTCGAGCAACATGCCTCTATTTATCGTATAGTCGAAGTTTGCTTACAATCGCTTTAGCTGCTTCCAATACAATTGAGAAAAGGTCGAGCTACAAGTTCAGCAAGGGAATCTCACTAAGACGGCTTTGGAAAAGCGAATTTCAAGATTTGAAGTGTACCAAACCTCACCTGCGACCATATTGGACGCTCACGTCTGTTCTCCTGAAATTTTATGGCTAATATTCGAATGTTTCGCCCTGATATGTTTTGCATGTTTCTGGTGGCAAAGTTTCGTGGCTCTATAAACACTGCTATAGAAATCTGTTCTCCCAGTGTGTTTGCTTTCTGTTAAGTTCAAGCGTTATCAAAATTACGGAACGCGAAGCTCGTTGAGAAACTACCGTTCCCGTTCTCCACAGAAATTTTATGCTAACATTTTGAATGTTTCGCGTAATGTGTTTCTATATGTTCTGATAGCCATCGTGACGCTCTATGAAACACTGCGTTGCAGTTATTTGAAAATCCGTATTGATAAACTTGTTTTTCAAGGTGATAATATGAGAATGTGAGGTCGATTAAGCCATAGCACTGTTAGACATCTCCTCCTTTTCGCATTCAACAGAGGTATGCAAAGCTGCTGATGCTGCTCGGGAAATTCGCCGCGAAGTGTCTGCGGAGAAGAGGCCCTCTCTCTCAAAACAGCGCCGAAAATTGTTCAGTACGCTTCAAGAATGGTAAACTATACCTCTGTTGAAAGCCGAAAAAAGTAGGAGATGTCTGAAGTGCTGATGCTTATCGACCTGACATTCGCCATATTATCACCTGAAAAAGCAAGGTTCATCAAACGGATTTTAAAATAATAACTGCAGCGCAGTGTTATAGAGGCAGAAATTGGCTATCAGACATATAGGAAGCACATCTGGCGACACATTCAAATGTTAGCACTAAAATTCGTGGGAGAACGCGGAACGCTAGTTCTCAACGATTCGGTTCCGTACTGATAAACCTGAAACTAACAGAAAGCAAACACCTCTGGAGATCAGATTTTTATACGCAGCTGTTATAAGAGCGACGACATTTGCCCACCAGTAACAATGCAAAACATATCAGCGAAACATTCCAATATTAGCATAAAATTTCAGAGTGGAACAGACGTGAGGCTTGCCGCAATATCGGCGAGGTGAAAGGTTGCCACTTTCAATTCTAAAATTAGTTCCAAAGCGTCGCTATTGAGATTCCCTTGCTGATGACTTCTAGCAACGATCCTTTTCCAAATGTATGGAGCAGCTTGAAGGCGATTCTTGAGCAGCTTCGAACTGATATCGTAAATAGAGGCAGTTTGTCGAAGGTGTAAATTTTGCGCCGACTTCGTTTTCAACTTAAATGAACTAAAAAATCGCACAAAAATTAATTCCTCAACCGAAGCCGTTTTAATTTTCTAAAACTACGTTGAAGTTTCGGCTCAGATGACTCAGATGATATCAAAGCTTGCTAGCAACAGCATTCATCTTTGAAACGGTATTTTGCCGTTGAAAAAAAACGAACAGTACTTAATGTGCCAACCGCAATACATTCCGCTCTACCTCAAGATATCCGCTATTAGGTCCAGGTGCAGTAGCGCATCTGCTTCCTGCATAATTTTATATTAATACATTAAACCATGGTTCGATCTGCTTATTGAAGCGCGCAATGAATAGAGGTAAGAACTGACACAAGTCTCTTGCCGTAATACTTTAGCAGTAAAGTCCTGTTGAAATCCAGGGAAGCTGGTCCTCTAATCATGTTCTTATCATGGCGTATCATGACGCCAACGCCATGCGTGCACGATCTTGAGTCGCTATCACAGGCTAAAGCCGAGATAGATGCTGTTTCAAAAAATACTGAACTATGTCCGCAAGGTGGAAAGAGTTGAAATGCTACAAACCACTGATCTCTTGGCTTCATCAGCATGAAAAAACAATCGTCCCATAAGCCTTGGGGTCCTTATGAGATTTACATTCTTCGCTCGGTTTGTCTCTGGTTCTGGGATCGCGCCGAGCAGGCACTCGCACTGGCACTTTCGGAGAGAGCTGAAATAATTTTTTATGCCACTTCGAACAACTGGCACTTCTGAAACCGCGAGCTATGAAATTCTTCTTGAATTTTAAAATCCAAAGCGGACCTTGCGAATTATTTCCCTAAACTCAGTTTCATTATCAAAGTCTTCACTTGAAACTGCGTAACCGTGAGGAAGAACCTTAAAATTGAGACTGAATCACCTATCCTGAGTGTGACCTGAACGAGGGTACAGTCAACGTTTCAAGAATGACCAGCTCTCGGTAGAAAAGGTCATTAACGCTAGTATCTGTCAATGAACTCACGTCACAGAACTTATTCAAGTCAGAGACATTTGCCTCAAATTCGCCACCTTCCACTGCATGAACTGTCCCAAAAGAGAAATATGTACGTTTAAAACCATCTTTCTCTGTAGCAGTCAGGTGTGGCACTCGAAACTTGTCAAGAAGAGTACCTTGCTCTTTCTCTGCCTCTTCTATAGCTGAAACAGGTTTACATCTTGAACAGGTGCATGTGCATTGCCTCCATTGTTTGGAATCACATTAGTTAGTAGGAGCAAGGCGATCTCGCTTATAGGAGCAGAGCAGCGACAGTTGAAGGAACTGCAAAGTGTTAGCGCTGATAGTGACAGTGAATCACAAATGGCCGAAACGCCAAGGGTCGTTGGTAACCGCTCCAGTCAGAGAGTGTGCAGTGGGGGGGGAGAGCCAAAAAAAGACATTTTTCTTCCTTGACTTTCGAGGCGCTATAAGTTACACTCTATTGAATTTTTATCGGACATTTCTTCCACCACATTAAAGAGCATATTAAACTATCATGATACCCCGCCATAGCCTTCTGGAGGAGAGCCATTGAGAGATTCTGCCACGCGACCGTGAGTGGGTACCTCAGTCCAGCGAGATCGTTGATTTCTCCACCACTGTAGACCACGCTATTGAACTCCGCCCAAACCAAGTAATTGAGGGGGTTTAGTTCAGGTGACCTTCCCACCTTTTCCAGGTACTCAACGCCCTTCCATTCCAAGTAGGCGAAAGTTTTTCCAACGTCCTTCGATTCCATGTGGTGCCCAATCCTCTAGCAGTATAAAGTTTCCAAGAAGGTACGGGCGACGACATGTGGGGGGGGGGGGAATTCTATCGCCAGCGCTCAAATTCAGTCCGGGGTCTACGAAGAAAATATCGGTCTTCCCATTCGCAGGTACCATCCGTCCAGAGCACCATCAAGCGCCGTGCCTTGGCGACTACTCTGAAGATGATGTTCCTAAGACCGTGAGCGACGTTGTCGAAGCCTGCTCGATGATAGACGGTCTTCTTAGATGGAGAGTACTGGTCTAGCAGGAAGCTATCCATGGGTGACTCACACTAGAAGGTTTGCAGCTGTTCAGGACAGAATTCCAAAGGTGTTGCGCCCAAGTCAGGCCTGGCCGACTGGAGATGACTTCATATTTTGGTTACATGACCGGTGGATGGGGGAAGAGCCCAGCTTGCCTGGCTTATCGACGGAGGGTATGCTTCTCTTGCTGGCACTCAGCATCCGCACCTCTGTCCTGGGGCTGCGAAATCTTTCTGATATGCGAGCTCGTCGAAATGTCTTTTTTTTTGGCCCCCCTGCCCCCCTGTGTAAGCCTTCGCCTGAAGATGAACGCACAGATGTAGCAAAGGTCGGTGGTAAAAAATGCAAAGGCAGATGTCAAAAGAAAAGCTAGAACACATTATACTCACTAAGCGTAGTGAATTTCACAGCAATGTGAAAAGGTTTCCCGGAGTATAAGAATGAAACTTTTACGAAGCAGCTGAAGAAAGGCCTGGACCTACAGAGCAGAACGGGATCTCCTTGTATGGGAGCCATGCACGCTGCCAGTGAACGATATTTTTGTTAGCAATATGAGCTTAGCCCTTCTAACAACTCTAAACCAGAGGGCACCTTTCAGCTAAAGATTGTAGGTGGAATACCTCATCTGATCACGATCACTTGATGATCGTTGCGGCCATTTGTGGGCATGTCGGTGTTGTTGGGAGTATTGGTAGGCTTGTAAGCCTTACTGGCACGCCTAGAGACCGCTTCCCTCTCTTAGGAAAAGAGGCCATGCAAGGCTTACAGGAGTCAAATATTTGATCGCATCTCCCCCAGGTCAACCAAGCCTTCCATCCTCGAGAGCTTTTGAATTGTCACCAAAAGCACCTAGGAGAACAACGAAACCGACTTGACATGGTTTGCCTACACAAGTCGTTGTGTAAGCCGAATCCCACTCATTACGCTGCTAGCAGAATGGATGCCGCATCTCCAAACGAATAATTCAATGGCGAAGGCTTCATATTTTCCACTTTTCATTGTGTATCCTCCCCGGTGGAGTGGGCAGAGGGTACTGTGAGCAAAATTACATTACTTTCGTTTCTGATAGTAAACAAGATGGTGAACTAAGAGAATCAAAAAGGGTACTGGTACCTTGTTGAGGAGGTACCAATACCCTTTGTGATTCTGAACAGGCAGAAAAGGGCGTGGCCTATTAACGCTCCTAGATGCCCTCTGCCAGACTGGTTTAGCCACTTAGATAGCCTAATCCACCTATTCAGCCTTTGAGCACCATGAAAAGGGAAATCGCGCAAGAAGAAAATGGTTCAGTTTGTAGCGCGACGCTTAGATTATGGCGTGAAGTGTTTCTCATAGCTTGGCGATTGGAAGGCCTATCCACGCATGGAGCCCTAAAAGAAACTGCGGCTGGTATCGGTGGAGGATCGCTGGTCCAAGCAAAGAAGGGATAACGTGTCAACAATCCCTTTATCTTATGCGCGCTGTTCACATCTTTACCTTGCCCCGGTAACAGTCAGCCGCCACCCTCTCAACTAAATCTGTGGGCACGTCGTCTACAAGTGCAGTTACTTTCTGTTGTGCACAAGGGAAGGGAGTTCATTTGTTCTCGCTGCCTTTTTTATCAGCGTTAGATCTTTTCTTTCACTGCCTTTTATAGACTAGGTAGCACAATCTGACTCACTTTCAAGGTAAACGCTGGCTTCTCGAGAGCAGAGATGCCCAAGTGTTTCTCTAACGTCTCCATATATAGCGGTTCCAACCTTGATACCATCTGATCCCCCCTTGGCTAAGCGCAACTTGATGGGAGCCGTTGCAGTGTCCGTTTCGGAATCTGAAATAGAAGAGCTGAAGCAAGATCCGTATAATCCGCAGCCATCATCCAGCATGATCTGA